CCCATGGACCTCCCAGGGGCTATACTTTAAAATCAACTTTTGACCTTTTCAAGAATAGTCTTACTAGTCCCCACCTCTAAAGATTCTTAACTGAATCTATGCTGGGCCATGGGCATGACTATTCTTAAAAAATTCAACAGTTAATTTTGAGGTATGACGTGGGCATCTGAACTTCTTAAATCTTCAAATAAATCGGATGTCTGCTATGATGTTGAGAAGCACCGCCAGCAATGCTGGGAACAGAGGTAGCATCACAAACAGAGATCCCGCTCTAAGATATTCCCAACCCTGTCAATGCGCTGTTGCGGCATAGATTGCACCAGCCGACTGTTCATGCCCCGGCACCAGCAGCCCAGCCCGCCTTCCTCCTCCTCCTGTGCCTCCACACTCTTGTCTGCCCCCTCTTCTCCCCATTGTCCATTCTCGTCTTCGTTTTAGGCCACTGGCTAATTAAATCATCTGTAAGACCCTGGAGGGGTCCCTATTCTTCTCTGCTGGGTGTGCTTTTCCATAAGTTGAGGACTGGACCAACTCTTTGGGTGGGCCTATTGGATACAGTTCACGTTTTTTCAAAGTAGCAGGGTAAGGGACCACATGCCTTTAACCACTGTCTTTTCTGCATTCCTGAATCCTGTTCTTAACATCATTTGGGAAATCATTACTTTAGAAACTCATTCTTTCCAACACTACTTACTAATCAAGCATTAAGAAAATATTCCTGTTTCTTTGGTTAAAAAAGGAGGTTGAGATTATACAATATATCTCTATTACTGAGGGAAGGTGTTCTCTTTCTGGGTCCACAAGGGGGCATAGTTTTAAGGGTAAGAATGTCCCAGCGCCATGCCCGCCATGCCCTCCTCCCATCTCTCTCCATCTGGGAGATTTAATGGTTTCTGTTTCTCTGTCTCTCTCTCTCTCTCTCAAGTTTTCTCTCTTCTTTTTTTTCCTTTCTCCACCTAAAATAAATTCACTTTCTGCAAAAACTCTGTTTGGGGTCCGATAATTACTTTGCGAGCACACCTGGTCCCCTCTCTCATTCTTGGGAGAGCAGGAGACCAAAACCTTGGAGAAACGTCCTCTCAGGGGAGCTAAGGGCTCCGCTGAACCCCAACATTACCATATGCTACAATATATCTATATTACCATGTGCACATGATTACTTCCAAACCTTACTTAACTTTCCCTTGGACGTGCTTAACACACCAAAGCTAGATGGGCTCATGCTCATATGTCTTTTTATGGCGAAATTGCTCTGGTATAAGCCCTGGTAGGTTGTCTGTCTAAATAACTAAGACGTACATTTTTGATAGAATGGTTTTATTTTTTAAGAGATGCTAGTATATTTTAGAAAACAACTTCTGGTGTAGCTGAAGTTTTGGTAACTATAAGTTGTTATGAATTTATGAAAACTTTGGAATCATTCTGTAAAGTTATTTTTTTAAATAGTACCATAAGGACTCTTATTAAAATTTCATGTGTAATACATATGGAAAATATTGATATTTTTATGCTATTAAATATTTATATCCAGGAGCATGGGGCTTTTCTGTTTTTATTAAGGTCTTATTTTATGTTCTTCAATAAAATGTTATAGTTATCTTCTGAAAGGTCTTGTACCTTTCCTGATAAATTCATTTCTAGATATACTTTAACAGCTTTAATGAGGCATGATTTGCCGTATAGAGTTGTGCGGCCATCCCCATAAATCAATTTTAAGACTTGTGCACTATCACAAAAAGTTTATTTATGTCCATTACAGCTAACTCCCACTCACATCCCCAGCCCTAGGCAGCCACTGATCTTTCTGTCTCTATAGATTTGCATTTTTTGGACATTGGATCTAAATGGCATCATACAATACATAACGTTTTTGCATCTGGCTTCTTTTGGTTAGCGTAATGTTACTGAGGCTTATCTGTATTGTAGCATGTATCAACAGTTTGATCCTTTTTATTGCTGAATAATATTCTATTGCATGGCTCTATCACGTGTTCTTTATTCATTCAACAGTTGATGGATGTTTGGATTGTTTCCAGTTTTTGCTATTTTACATAATGTTGCCATGTATATTTGTGGACAAGATTTTTTTTTCTGGCATATGCTTTCATTTCTCTTGTGTAGAGTCCTGGGAGCAAAATTGCTGGGCTGAACAATAAGTGTATCTTTATCTTTTCAAGAAACAAACTGTTTTTCAGAGCAATGTGCTGCTTCTCACTCTCAGAAGCAATGTATGAGGCTTCCAGTTTCTCTACATCATCACCAACATTCAATAGCGATGTCTTTTTGTTGTAGTCATTCTAATAAGTCTAACTGCATAACAAATGACCCCAAAACTTAGTGGCTTAAAATCAAACATTTATTCCACATTTCTGAGGGTCCAGAATCCAAGTGTCCTGGGTCCTTTGGCTTTCAGATTTCAAACAAAGCTGCAATCAAAGTGTTGGCTGTGGCTGCAGTTATCTCAGGGCTGATTGGGAGTGAGGGGGAGAATCTGCTTTCAGACTCACTCAAGCGGTTGCTGGTGGCATCCAGTTCCTTATGGGCTGTTGTACTGAGGGCCTCCATTCCTCGCTGACTGTGGGCTGAAAGCTTCCTTCAGTTCTTTGCCACATGGGCTTCACCATAGGGTGGCTCACAACAGGGCAGCTGGCTTCCATCAGAGTGACCAATTTGGGAGAGCAAGAAAATATGAGCAAGACTGAAGCCAGAGTCTTTCTGTAACCTAATCTAGAAATGACAGCCCATTACTTAGAGAGGCTATCTACCACATTTGTTGTGGTTTTAATTTGCATTTCCTTAATGACTAATAATGTCAAGCATCTTTTCTTGTGCATATTAGCCATTCATACACGCTCCTTGATGAAATATCTACTCAAGTTTTTGCCCATTTAGGAAATTACATTGTTTGCCTAAGTCATAAGAGTCTATTATATATTCTGGAAACAAGTTATTTATTTGATATTTGATGGGCCAGTAGTATTCATTTTCTATTGCTGTGATGACAAATTACCACAAGCTTAGCAGTTAAATCATACGAAATTATTTTCTTACAGTTCCGTCGCCTAGAAGAATTGTGGAAGCCTCCCTGGGCTAAAATCCAGGTGTCAGCTGGTACACTCTTTTCTGGAGGCTCGAGGGGAGAAACTGTTTCCTGCTCATTTGGGTTGTTGGCAGAAGTCAGTACCTTGCATTGTAGGATCAGAGTCCCCATGTTCTTGCTTGCAAACTTGCAACCTTATAAACTGAAGGTCAATCCTAGCTTCTAGAGAATACTGCATTCTTTAGTTCCTGGTCTCTTTTCCTCACATTCAAAGCTCCATCAGGGCCAGCAGGCCGAGTTCTTTTCATGTTGCATTTCCCTATCCCTTCTTCAGTGTTGAATCCCCCTCACCACAGGCAGAACACATTCTCTGCTTTTAAGGACTCATATGACTAGATTGTACTCACTCAGATAATGCAGGGTGATATCCCCATCTCAAGGTCTATTTTTTTTTTTTAACTCTGTCATGTAACCTTGGCTCACTGCAGCCTCTCAGGCTCAAGCTATTCTCCCACCTCAGCCTCCAGAGTAGCTGGGACCACAGGGGTGTGCCATCATGCCCGGCTAATTTTTTTGTATTTTTGATAGAGATGGAGTTTCACCACATTGCCCAGGTTGGTCTCAACCTCCTGAGCTCGAGCGATCTTCCTGCCTCAGCCTCCCAGAGTACTGGGATTACAGGTGTGAGCTATTGTGCCCAGGCAAGGTCTTTAATCTTAATCTCACCTGTAAATCTCTTTACCATGTGAGGTATTACCTTCACAGGTTCTGAGAATTAAGACATGAACATTTGGTGGGGAGCGTTATTCTGACCACCACACAAATATTTTCTCCTAGTTTATGGTTTGTCATTTCATTTTCTTAATGATATCCTTTGAAGAACAAAAGTCTTTAATTTTTATGAAGCCTGATTTCTTGTTTCTTTTATACATTATGCTTTGGGTGTTGTATCTAAGAATACTCTGCCTAAGCCCAAGATTCTGAGAAAATTTAATATTTTCTTCTAGGAATGTTTGTAGTATTAGTTCTTCAGTTTAGATTTGTGATCCATTTTCAGTTGATTTTTCTCTATAGGTAGGGACCTGAGTTTTGTTTTTTTGTTTGCTTTTGGCATGTGGATATCCAGTTATCCCACCACCATTTGTTGAAAGACTCTCCTTTCTTCCATTTAATTGTTTGGGCACCTGTGTTGAAAATCACTGGCTGTAATTGTAAGAATTTATTTGTGAAATCTCAATTATCTTCCATTGATACATATGCCTTTCCTTGCATCAATATCATACTGTCTTCTTTTCTAGATATTTTAAAGTTTTTGTTACTATTAGAAATGGAGTTAAGGTTATTTTGAATCTAAAATATTCACTCAGCAATAGATGCTAGGGGCTGCTACAGGGGAGGGAGGGAGGGCAGCAAAGGTTGAAAAACCAGCTTTTGGGTACTATGCTCACTGCTGGGGTGATGGGATCATTCATATCCCAAACCTCAGCATCATGTGATATACCCATGTAACCAATCTGCACATGTATGCCCTCAACTTAAAAAGCTGAAATGATTTTTTAAATTAATAAAATATTAACTCAGAACTGTTTTCCTTAGACTTGTTAATATTTAATATATTAATATTAATTATAATTTATAGTTTATTATAATTAATATTTAATCTATTAATTTAATAGTTATTATAAAATTGTCTTGGCCTTGGATTAAAAAGAAAATAAAACTTTTATGCCTAAATTAGGTAACCTGAAATTGCTTTGAATCTACTAAATTCTATCTTATAGGACTATGTTGCAACAATAGCAGAGATGTTAGTGTACATAGGTTTAGTGGCATTAAATATCTTAATGAATATCTTTAGTTTGTGCTTTGAATTTGAACCAGTTATTGTTATTATTATATATTCATATTCCCTTTGGACAAGTAACATTTCCAGAACTCTGATCATTCTTATTCCTTTCAGATCAACCTTTAGAATCCCGTAGACTCTTCAACAAGCCAATTCCGAGCTTGCCCAACATGGACACCATTTTTAGTCAGGCCCTCTTGAAGATGCGGAAGCAGCACCCTGGGTGTCTTGCTCAGGAGGCTTGTGTCCGAGCGGTCCAGGCTGCTGTGCAGTATCCCTATGAAGTGGGCAGCAAGAAGGAGAAGGAGCTGTTTCAATATCTTTTGCAATCAGGGCAGGCGAGAGCCCTGCAATATGCTTTCTTCGCTGAAAGGAAAGCAAATAAGTGGTCATCTCCCTCTGGAGCATCGTGGAAAACAGCATCAGCGCAGCCTGTCTCCTCGGTTGGCGTTGTCGGTAAGAGCATGGGGTAGTGAATAGAATTCTCCAAATCTGCTCATGTAATGTGCTGCTATTTGCTTCAGGCCACGGGATGCTGGGTTTCACATAAGACACGTTCTTGTATTAGCTAAGCTAATTCTCACCCCGTGAGCTCTCTTCTTTTCCATGAGAGGCCTAGAGACACCAGCCTTCTCAACAGTGAGCTAAACATGAGTGGGGTGAAAGTCTGACCCTAGGTCTGACTCCAGACTGGGAATTTTTAATTTTTTTTTTTTTTTTTTTGAGCTGGAGTCTTGCTCTGTCACCCGGGCTGTCATCTCAGCTCACTGCAACTTCCACCTCCAGGGTTCAAGTGACTCTCTTGCCTCAGCCTCCTGAGTAGCTGTGACTACCGCCACCATGCCAAGCTAATTTTTTAAATATTTTTATTAGAAACAAGACTTTGCCATGTGGGCCAGGCTGGTCTCGAACTCCTGGCCTCAAGTGATCCACCTGCCTCAGCCTCCCAAAGTTCTGAGATTACAGGCGTGAGCCACCATTCCTGGCCTGCCATTTTTCATTCTATGCCACCTCTGCCCTGTGTGAATCTCTCATTCCTGGATTTCCTAATGATGATGATTTGTACCACATTTCAAGGTGTAGCCCGTCACTCTCATAGCTAGGTATTTGTCATGAAGTCTCTGTCTTTCCGGCCCCTGATCCATTCACTTCTCCTAGTTCAAAACCTCTATCCTCAAATCCATCTAGACCCTGAAATCATGGCTTCCCTACTTTTTCCTCTGGAATTTTCCCAAACAAAATACCTTCTTTCCTTAGAAGCCAGCTCCCTGATTGGCTGCTCTGAGCCACTGTCCTACACTTCACTTCTTAGTCTTGGCTCAAGAATGGTCTTTGGTGAGTTTTCAATCCCTTGAGATGGTAAGTGAAACATTCTTCATACCACCGTAGGTACAGTCTTCTGGGGAGAGGATCCATAGTTTATGAAAAGCATCACCTTTCTTTCTTTTCCTTTCATTCTTTCTTTTTTTTTTACATTTAAGTTTTTTTTTATCACAAAAGCATGCAAGAAAGTTATAATAGTGCAAAAAAATTCTCATACGCTTTTTATCCAGATCCTCCAAATGTTAACATTTTACTATATTTATTTTATTTCCCTCTCTCTTTTCTGAACTCTAAGACTAAGTTGCAGACTTATGTGTATTTCCTAAAACTAAATATTCTCTTACATGACCACAGTATAATTTATTTTAAAACACAGGGCAATTAATATAGATAAAGGACTATTAGCTAGTCTATAGCCCTTATTCTGATTTTTCTTTCTTTTTGCTTTTTCTTTTTTTTTAACCATCTTTATGATTTTTAAGTATACAGTTCAGTGGGAATAAATACATGTATTTCCTTTCTTCCCCTTCATCTCTCTTCCCCCCTCCCCTTCCTGGTCTTCGGCAACCACTAATCTACTGCGTATCATCATGAGGTCTACCTTTTAAGCTCCCACATATGAGTGAGAACAAATGATATTTGCCTTTCTGTGGAAAAGCATCAACTGTCTTAACCCTTGCCCAGCTCTCTAGCTCAGTGGTCACCAACCTTTTTGGCACCAGGGACCAGTTTCACGGAATACAATTTTTCTACAGATTGGGGGGTGATGGTTGTGGGATGAAACTCTTCCCCCTCAGCTCATCAGGCATTAGATTTTCATAAGAAGCACGCAGCCTAGATCCCTCACATGCGCAGTTCACAGTAGGATTCCAGCTCCTGTGAGAATCTAGGGCCACTACTGATCTGCCAGGAGGCGGAGCTGAAGGCCGTAATGCTCACTGGCCTGCCGCTCACTTCCTGCTGTGCAGCTCTGTTCCTAACCGGTCACGGACCTGCTCTAGCACCAACCCAACTTGAGGCAAAGATCTCACTCCACATTCTCTCAATCTGTTGTCTCAATTCAACTTTGGTATCAAAGAATCTGTCTCTGCTATAAATACACTGTGTGCCTTTCAGCTCTGACTGTTGAGATCTCCCCTTAGTTCACCTGTGATTTCTTTTTTTTTTTCCATTTATTTTATTGCATTTTAGGTTTTGGGGTACATGTGAAGAACATGCAAAATTGTTGCATAGGTACACACGTGGCAGTGTGATTTGCTGCCTTCCTCCCCATCACCTACATCTGGCATTTCTCCCCTTCCTATCTCTCCCCAGCTCCCCACCCCCCACCGTCCCTCCGCTATTTCCCCCCAACTGACCCCAGTGTGTAGTGCTCCCTTCCATGTGTCCATGTGTTCTCATTGTTCAACACCCGCCTATGAGTGAGAACATGCGGTATTTGATCTTCTGCTCTTGTGTCAGTTTGCTGAGAATGATGGTTTCCAGGTTCATCCATGTCCCTACAAAGGACACAAACTCATCGTTTTTGATGGCTGCATAATATTCCATGGTGTATATGTGCCACATTTTCCCTATCCAGTCTATCGGCGATGGGCATTTGGGTTGGTTCCAGGTCTTTGCTATTGTAAACAGTGCTGCAATGAACATTCGTGTGCACGTGTCCTTAAAGTAGAACAATTTGTAATCCTTTGGATATATACCCAGTAATGGGATTGCTGGGTCAAATGGAATTTCTATTTCTAGGTCCTTGAGGAATCACCACACTGTCTTCCACAATGGTTGAACTAATTTACACTTCCACCAACAGTGCAAAAGTGTTCCTATTTCTCCACATCCTCTCCAGCATCTGTTGTCTCCAGATTTTTTAATGATCGCCATTCTAACTGGCGTGAGATGGTATCTCAATGATTTCTTTTTTTTATGAGATGCAGTTTTGCTCTGTCGCCCAGGCTGGAGTGCAGTGGCACAATCTCGGTTCACTGCAACCGCCACTTTCCAGGTTCCGGTGATTCTTGTGCCTTGGCCTCCCCACTAGCTGGGATTAAAGGTGCACATGACCACGCCTGGTTGACTTCTGTATTTTTAGTAGAGACAGGGTTTCACCACATTGGCCGGGCTGGTCTTGAACTCCCAGCCTCAGGTTATCCACCCGCATGGGCCTCCCAAAGTGCTGGAATTACAGCTGTGAGCCACTGTGTCCAGCCTCGCTTGTGATTTTTTTAAAGGTGGGTGAGTAGAGTGACAAAGAACTATGATTGTTCCTCTTTTTGTACTATTAAATATTTCAGCAATGCCAATATTTATTTCTAGTTGTTGTGTACTTAACCTCTTTCTTCTCACTTCAATTCCTTCAAGCCAAGAATAATTAACGCAAATAATAGCAAGCTGGTAAGTGTGTCAATATTGTGTTTGTCAACCATTGTTTGAGATAATTTCTTGATTTTGTTGTTGTGAACCTTTATTTAAAAGACTTCAGCAGGAGGCTGAGGCAGGAGAATTTCTTGAACCGGGACCCAGGAGGCAGAGGCTGCAGTGAGCTGAGATTGCACTACTGCACTCCCGCCTGGGCTACAGAGCAAGACTCTGTCTCAAAAAAAAAAAGAAAAAAAAGAGACTTCAGGCTTGTTTCTGGCATATAATGTTTAAAATTTTGAAGTATTTTTTTAAAACGGTATCCACATTGTTTTGAAAAATATTGGAAAGGGCGTACTAAATATATAAAAGACATGTAGATAGAAATAAAGTGGGAGGGTCTGGACGTTCCCGCCGTCTTCGTGTGTGTCGCCATGCTGCCCGGCATTTCATCTTCGTGACGCAGTGTTCCACTGCTCCCGTGTGCCCTCGGAAAGGCTCCGTGACCCTCCTCTGCCTCCTGACTGAAACCCGGCTTACCCTGAGGACCAGCATCTGCAGCCCTCTCCAGGGAATGCTGCTGCTTCTCCCACACTCCGTGGGCCTCCGGGTCACTTCTCAGTTCCCCTCTCAGACCACTGTGCTCTGTGGGACACTGTCCTTTGTGGTCCGGCCCTGCGATCTCACGGTTCTATCCCTTTTCGTTGCTGCCCTGCTCCCCTCCATTTGCTGAACGTTTTGCTACCTGGCTCACAATTTTCCACTTTGGCCCAAACCCTGCTGCCATCCTGGTTGTCCTCATTGTCTTGTAGCATCTGGGTTTTTTGCCTCCTGAGACTCAGGGATGTTCACCTCCCGTCACTTCCACGCTCCACACTCGTCGCTTCTCCACAGGACATGGCATTGCCCTGAATATTTCTCCGCTTCCAAAATCTGAAACCCCACCGTTCACCACACCTCATATCTTTCCTTCTGTCCTCCTTTTTTGTTGTTGTTTGAGACACTCCCACTCTGTCGCCCAGGCTGGAGTGCAATAGTGTGATCTCAGCTCCCTGAGCCTCCGCCGAGTAGCTGGGATTAGAGGTGCACACCACCACGCCCGGCTAATTTTTGTATTTTAGTAGAGAGAGAGTTTCACCATGTTGCCCAGGCTGGTCGCCAACTCCTGAGCTCAGGCAATCCGCCCACCTCGGCCTCCCAAAGTGCTGGGATTACAGGCGTGAGCCACCGCTCCCAGCCTCCTTGTCTCTTAATGGGTTATTCCAACTACGTCCATTACTTGATCAGCCCCCCCTTATCTTTATTTTCTCCTCTCTTCAGCTTTAATTTTAAGAGCTGTCATTTCAGCCACTCTCGGGCCAAAGCCCGCAAACTATAGCTCATTGCCCTTCCATCATGCTCCCCACACAATCCTAACTCTGACGGTCCCAGCTGTTTGCTTGTTTCCATGAGCCCAGGCCCAGGCTTCTCAGCCCCGCTGCAGACGCAGTTCCAATCGGCTACCCTGCAGGTTCACATTCTCCCACCCCAACTGGGCCCCCAGGGCTGTCAGGACAAGAGAATGTAGCTGATCGGAAACTGCAAAACTAGTATTCAAAACATCCTTTTTTGGTATTTACTTCTCTGAGTAAAAGAGGTTCCTGGTCAAATTGAATTCCATGGTAGTCCAAAGCAGTACTATGGTAGGGGAGCAGGACTCCTCGCCCTGTCTATATGTGTCTGCGAGGCGGAAGTAGGGAACTGTATGAAGCTTGAAACCAATAGCGAGGAGGCCAGAGTTC